GATATGCAAGCGAAAAGCAACAAGTTGGCAGAAGAAGAATCAAAGATAGGACTTCAGGTGAACATAGAGAAAACAGAGGTGATGAAAATTCCTGGGCAACACCACCAACAGCAACAGACAACAATCAGCATAAATTGGAGGAACCTGAAAGAAACAAACTCTTTTACCTACCTGGGAAGCATCGTTTCAACAACAGGCGGACGGAACTGATGAGGATATCAAAACAAGAATCGTAGAAGCAAGACAAGCTTTCATTACTCTCAAGTCTGTGTGGAGGTCAACAGCACTCAGCATGAAAAATAAGATCCGGATTTTCGACTCCAATGTGAAGTCAGCCAGTGCTACTCTATACGGATCACAGACTTGACGCGTCGTGAAGAGCATCTCAAACAAACTACAGACCTTCATTAATAGTTGTCTTTGCTCAATACTCAAGATCAGATGGCCAGAAAAGACCAGCAATAGAGATCTCTGGGAGCCAACCAAGCAGGAACCGATTGTGAAACAAATAGGCAGGAAGAAATGGAGATGGATTGGCTGGCCATACTCTGAGGAAACCATCAAGTGACATCACTAGACAAGCCATTCCTCGAGTGGAACCCGAAAGGGAAGCGGCGAGTTGGTCGTCAGTGCAAGGGTTACTTGGAGGAGGTCATGTGAAGAGGAGATGTAAACGTGTGGGCAGACTTGGAGCCAGGTGAAGACTCTAGCAGAGAACCGAACGCAATGGAGACGCACGGCTGAAGCCCTATGTTCCTCTAGGAATTAAAGGAAACAATAGTAATAATATATAATTTATCCGGGTAATTTTTAAGTTTCAAGGCTTCTTTTATGTGTATCCGTTCCTGTTTTAGATTTTCATTGGTACTACTTAGTTTTTGTGCTCTGTCATTTAAACATTTCACCAATCCTTTTTTTACTGACATAGGATGAGATGATCGGAAGTCCAAATATCTGTTTGAATGCGTGTACAGGGTATAGGGAGAGACTGATAACAGAAGCTTTGTTTATCGAATCAACTGCAAACACATGTAATAGGAATGATTCATCACCTGTCCTAGATATCTGGAAAATTCTACTACCCCAACGACGACAAATAGGAGAGGACAAAGTAAACTATAAAACTCAAGTTTCGAAGTCGTGTGATTACAATTGATAAGATTATGAACCAAATAAATTTTGTTCGAAACTGTCATCCAGTAAATAATACTGTTTCTTCACTGAGTGATATATCTAATAAACAAACTAATATGGAATTACTTACTACCACAGTGCCCAAGTTTCATACATATACTATTATGACTTAGAGTCAGGTCTCATTGGCTGAATTGTGCACGAGCTTGACTTGTCACCGGAAGTTCCTGGTTTCGAAAAGTGTTGGTGTGTGTGAACTGGCGATGTTTCTCAAACTAGTATAAAACACCTGGTTGTTCAGTACTCCTCGGTGGGTTTTCAATGGTTCTGTAACTGATATCAATCCGTGATCAGCTCATGAAAACAAATCTAATCCTTACAAACCAACTATAGAAAATTAATTCTCACATGTCATTGCAGCCAAGGCCATACACATCAATGATGAATGGTTTTTTATCTAACAAAATTTGATGTAACCAAGTCCAGTCTACCATTCTAAATCCATCTGAATTACTGTGCCTTTTATTATATGGAAGGAATTTCACCCATGTAGTACAGTACTGAATCCAATATTCTCATCACAGGAATAATAATTAAAACAGATCATATTATTAAATTAGAATATAAATATAAAATTCGAGTGCATCCATTTTAACAACACTATGATAATAAATGTTTTGAAACTGTTAAAAATGAATTTGCTCTGGACATATATGAGGTATTGATTCTGGTTTCATAACTTGAAGCTCCTGGTGACGTATAGGGCACAATTTATACACTGCTCATAATCATATCAAGGTATTCAGAAAACTTTCTAACTGCGTTCACATGATTCCATTATTTGTCGAGATTGACAAAATTTATCAACCGATAAGAAAGAAACCTAACACACAAAGGGCCAAAGTTCAAGTCAAAGAAACCATCAGTTCCAATACAAGTAGCCTAGAAGGTGTGAAAACGCACAAAAACAACCAATCACGTTCAAGTTCACCGGGAGAAATGATTAATAAACTCGTGGAGAAATCTAAAAGCTCAATTCACGAATTGAAGTATGCGCGGAGGTGTCACCTAGTAGGGTGATGAAAGCTTCGCAAATTAACTATCCAGCTCAGAGAACACAACCACATCAAAATCATCCACCTGAGCTACAAATCTTCTCCATTGCATGCTGTTGCACGTGTTTGGTGTAGACTCAATGAACAAGGATTCAGTAATCAACCTCTCCCTCTCTCCACCTACCTAGATTACTTTTTAGTATGTTAACCCTCTCTCACCATGCTATTGTCTGGTTGTGTGTTAATGCATGCATTGCGATTGCTGAGCTTCTTTCTAAATTACTTATCTTCTCTGGGTCAACCGTTGTTACCTCAGCTAAATTCTTATGTTCTGACAATCTGACTACTCCCAACCTACTAGTCTGACCTATGTAGTTGACCTCACAGTCATTGCAAGGTATTTTGGAAATTATATTACTTACTCTAATTGGGTCAACCTACAGAGCTTATCCTACCTCAGTGAGTTTGTAGGTTTGAATGGCACCCTAATTCCTGCTTTATTTAGAATCCTACGTAGGATCTCAGATGTCCCCAACTTGTAGAGTATACTACTACCAATCAAGTCAGGCGATGAAAAATAACGGAATTATATAAACGAAGTTAAAAGTTGTGTCAGTATCTAGAAATGATTTGGAGCAATAAATTTTACTCGAAACGTGAGACTTTATCAAAATAAATTTTATCCACAATGAAATTATACTCTGATATGAGAATAAAACTTGTGCACTGTGGTAGAGTGTAATTTCATTATGGGTAAATTTTGTTTTGATAAAGTCTCACAGTGTTATACAGTAACGTTTACTGATGACCACGTTTCGAGCAAAATTTATTGCTCATAATCATATCAAGGTAATCACACGACTTCCTAAATTATGCCTCATAAGAAATCGCTCAAACTTTAGACTAGCTAATCCATTTGAGATGAAAAATAAACTAAATGACATTCAACTAGAGAATGATGAAACAATGGTTAGTTTTGATATAACCAGTCTTTATACTAACATACCAATCAATATGGCCTTAGAAGCAGTTAAAAAGAATTAAATGCAGACCCTGAACTCACTTATAGGACGAAGCTTCCTATTGAAGAAATTATTTTAGGAATTCAGTTGTGCCTCACATCTACTATCTTCAAATTCCAAGGCAAAATATATAGACAAACTGATGGTGCAGCAATGGGATCACCAATATCCTCTATCGTGGCAGATATATTTATGAACAGCTGGGAAAATATGGCTCTTAATACGTCTAATCCTACTCCAAAATTGTGGTGGAGATATGTGGATGACACTTTCACCGTGTTTAAAGCAGAACATATCTCCAGCTTCTTGACACACATAAACCCACTAGTGGAGGGCATAAAATTCACATTTGAAGCGGAAAATGAACAAGGAGAAATAGCTACCGTGTTAGATTGTAAAATAAAACGAATAGAAGAAGGCAAACTACACACTAGTGTTTATAAAAAGCCTACGCATTTTAATAGATATTTAGACTTTAATTCATCTCATCCTTCAACTGTTAAGGCAGGCTTAGTTAAGTGTTAACAAACAGAGCAATGGCACTAAGTTGCACAAAAAAGACCTAAATGATGAAATGAAACAGATAGAAGAGGCGTTGGTGTTAAATAACTATCCTTCAAAATTCATTAGGAAGATTGAAGAAGGCCAAAAGAAAACGAAAAAGAATTGTGAAACTATTTTTTCTTTATTACAGCTTGAAGCCACACCGTATTTTCAGTACAAGTATGGAATTTTCAGCATGGATGTCGGTAGCCCAAATTTTGCAGGCCGCCCATAGATATTGGGTGTGCGTCGGCAGGGGATCGAACCTCGGACCATGTGCATGCTCAGCGTCAGTCCCATCCACTGTGCCACCGACTAGTAGTAAACATGAAAAAGAGAGAATATAAGTTACCTACAGTTATACGACATAAAGAGGGGACATCTGAGATCCTACGTAGGATTTTAAATAAAGCACGAATTAGAGTGCCATTCAAACCTACAAACTCACTGAGGTAGGATAAGCTCTGTAGGTTAAAGGACTCTGTAGGTTGACCTAATTAGAGTAAGTAATATAATTTCCAAAATACCTTGCAATGACTGTGAGGTCAACTACATAGGTCAAACTAGTAGGTCAGGGGTAGTCAGATTGTCAGAACATAAGAATTTAGCTAAGGTGAGAATGGTTGACCCAGAGAAGATAAGTAATTTAGAAAAAATCTCAACAATCGCAATGCATGCATTAACACACAACCAGACAATAGCATGGTGAGAGAGGGTTAACATACTAAAAAGTAATCTAGGTAGGTGGAGAGAGGGAGAGGTTGATTACTGAATCCTTGTTCATCGAATCTGCACCCAACACATGCAATAGGAATGATTCATCACTCATACCTGAAGGATGGAAAGTGCTATTACCAATCAAATCAAGTGAAAATCAACGGAACTATATAAATGAATTTAGGAAGTCGTGTGATTACCTTGATATGATTATGAGCAATAAATTGTGCTCGAAACGTCATCAGTTAACATTACTGTATAACACTGTGAGACTTTATAAAAACAAAATTTACCCATAATGAAATTATACTCTACCACAGTACACAAGTTTTAATTCCTTGATCAGATTTTTTTCTGGGGTTATGACTATACACTACTAAATAATCTCAAGATAGTATATGAGGAGCTCTCCAGTACTCCATGGGTTTCAATGATCCCTGGTTCCTGAGGCAATCTAACCTTCAATGGTAAGTTTTTACTACAGTCTTCACCGAAAACGAGGAAAATTTCGAATAAAACAAATGCTTACCATACATATAGTTATCTAATTGAGAGGGCGTTTTGGCGGCTTTTGCATATTCCTCTATTTTGATATTGAATAAAAAAAATTAATTGATCACTGAAATATGAGACAGTAAGTGAACACATAGTACAGAAATTCTCAGTGTTGGATGAATGTGTGAAGAATAAACTGTCGCTTTGAACAGGCCACTTCACAATGTGTGCTCATAAATTCACATGCTCGTGTGGAGCTAGTTATATTGGCCTCACAAACCGGCCGCACACTTTCCAAACGCATCTCTGAACATTATGCGTCATAGTTAGCAAAAGGGCAATCCCAGACAATTACTTGCTCAATTCTTGAGCACTTGGTGAACTCTAGCCACACAGCTTCACCACAGTCCGTTTTTCAAAATCATCTAAAAGGTGAGGCCTAATGGTACAAAAAGGCATTAAGTTTCGGATTTTGAGTATTGCGGGGGCGCTGGTAGTTCGTCAATGCAAGTTCGAACTTTGTGTACAGAAGACGTTTGTCCAGTTTCTTATTCTATCTTGGTCTTAACCTCTTCACTTGTGGTTCCCTATAAAAAGGTTTCATTTTGTAAGTTTCAATTTTACTTTTAGTTTGCTTTAGCTTTATTGATTAATTCAGTTTTATCACCTTCATTCTCACGCGATAACCATTTTCACCTTATCAAAATTCGAACTTTGTACCGTTGTCAAGTATCACGTAATTTACAACTTTTATTTTTTACTTCTAAAGCCAATTCTGAGTAATTATGTCGCCCAGTCTCCTATTACTCAATAATAGACTACTATACATTTTTAGTAAATATATATACGACTGTACAGCCTTTGAAGATGATCTGGTCGATAAAGAAGCATTTTATTTTGCTGAATTCGTCTACTGTTTTTCTTCATGACTCAATGGATATTTTCGGTAATCCTCAGTGTTTTCAGGAGTTGATCATGGATTGATATCAGTTACAGAACCATTGAAAACCAGAGAGTACTGGATAGTTGTTTCATCATAGTTTGAGAATGATCGGTAGTACGCACTTACTGCCAGGGTTCGAACCCAGGACCTTCTGGTTACAATATCAATCCGTCATCAACTCTTAGAAACAAAACTAACTCCTACAAACTGAACTTTAGAAAATTAATCTGATGCTCGCTAGTGACTTGCTACAGGATGAAGTTTCCTGGAGTTCTAATGAGAAGTCACGACAAGTGAGATCCATCCAGATGTCAGATGTAAGGGTGGATGTCCTATCGATGATATTGGTCAGTGCACGTCGCTCGAAATCACGAGTTGATAGAAGTGAGAATTCATCGACTGGCCATTGAGTAGTTGGGTTCCAGTGGCTGAGTTTTATAAGAGGTTGACTTGTCACCGGAACTTCCAGGTTTCGAAAAGTGTCAGTGGGTGTGAACTGGCAATGTTTCTCAAACTAGTATAAAACACCAGGTTGTTCAGTACTCCCCGATGGGTTTTCAATGGTCCTGTAACTGATATCATTCCATGATCACCTCGTAAAAACAAATCTAATCTATGCAAACCAACTGTCTATATTTGAAATATATCAAATTTAAATATTTTATGAATGAATTTACCTTCACTTTGTCGTTGTACAAATCTGTTTTTCGGATCAACACCTGCATCAAATCATCAATAAATAGACGTTTAGACTGGATAAAAGCAACATTATGCAATGAACAACTGAAATTAAATAGTGCTGTATAGCTGTTTCTTCCTAGACTAAGAAAGACTTTTCAGCAGCAGATATCTCTAATCTTCCTGGTGATCAACTTCAGGAGCTACAGATTATGAGGCTAGCCCACTGACGACTATTCAACCACCGGCCTATGAATTCGAAATTCGAGCATACGTTGAGAAAACTGTCTAGTGACATCGCGCGCCGGGCAGTTACTCGAGTGGAATCCAAATAAGAAGCGACTAGTGGGTCGTTCTAGGGTGACATAGAAGAGATCGTGTAAGGAAGAGATATGCATTCCTTCTTGATTTGCAGATTGTTCAATAAATTGAAGGTTGTCAGTAATACATTCACCAATTGATGGCTAAAAACTCGTTGCATATGAGGTTGCTTTCTTGGTCTAGTCACCTGGTGGCTAATATTTTACTCGATGAATGCGATTTATTACTCATAATTGTATCAATGTTTTCACAAGGCTTTTATCTTCCTCTTCATTATTCATCGTAATTTTTTATCTATCCCGTACAGTCGCTGAATCATTTAGATGTCGTGTGTGTACTTTGATTGGACGCTAGTAAATGACCAGTGTGATGTGTCTAGTCTTTTCGTCGGTGCAGACTGAACTCTATCAGTCAGGTTTGCATTATGACCACCATTCCAGATAGTTCGCCATCATAATGCATATTGATTTGATGATATTAGATGGTTGGAGGTGATCGGCTCCAAAGGAAGCCTTGCCTAACCATGGTTTCGTGCTAGTTGGCGCTCAAATCAATGTCCACTGTGTTGCAAGCTATAGAGAATGGTGGCCACATTGCATAGAATTCTGTCTGCACCAACGAAAAGACTAGACACATCACACTGGTCAATTACTAGTGTCCAGTCAAAGTATCCAATACAGTCATACCGAAGATCAGTCGCGAGCCCGAATAGCTCAGTGGTAAACTGTCGGACTTCAGGCGGTACTGGGTGACGCGGGTTCGAAACTCAGAGGAGACATGAGTTCCATCAAGATTGCAGAAGCGCCCTGCTGACTGTTCAGTGTCAACTAGCACGAAACCTAGTTCAGGCAAGGTTTCCTGTGGAGCCGATTGCCTCCAACCACCTAATATCATTCATGACCTCATGCGTGTTTACTACTGTCAGCATAAATCACCTGATAGATCCGCTTGAGAAAAATAAAATAATTTAACCAAACACCATGTAATAACTGTGAGATTGATTGTATAGATGACACTAATAGACAAGGATCAATCAGAGGATCGGAATACAGGAATTCTTAAAGGGTAGTCAGTACGGAGTACTTGATAACTATTTCGTCAGGACATAGGACCTTCCAGTTTCAAGGTAAACTTAAAGTCGTATGAATATATACGAGCAATGCATTGATCTGGAAACCTCATACAGTTAATAATACAATATCAAATTTTTAAATACTCCCATTATTATTATCATTATTAGAACAAGACATATAAGCCAACTTTATTGTCATTTTTAATTAGATCTTCTTCTTCAAGCTTTACCCTAATATACAATGATTTATATACAAAACAGCATTTCTCCAATGACGGTGAGTTTGTGGATCAAATAATAATAATAATGTGTTAAATGTTTTGAACGTCAGTAGCAACGATGATTGTAATGACAGCCAAAGAGAGGATAGGCGAATGTTCCTGAAACTGCTGTTCAATGTGGACTCGGCTGGTGAAGTCTTACATCTAAGTTTATCGAGAGCAATAAAACGGATTTATACTGCCGCCAACCTTTGTTTCTTATTCTTCAGACAAGCAAATATGATCGCTCAAGCGAAAGACAAGCTGCCTAGCTGTCCCACTTCTGTATGTATCTACAAATTTAACTGATCCTGCGGAGAGAGCTATACAGGGTGAACAACTAGACAGCTCAAGAAACGTATTAATGTGCATCTTCCTTAGTGGTTTGGAAAATGCCAAGTAATATCTATAAGAAGTTCCATTTTATGTTCTTTTATTGATAGTGGTCACCAAGTGGACAGAATAAGTGCCTTCAAAGTTATCTGTCGCATTCCATTAAACCTTTCGAACCCAACTTTCACACATAGCCGAAGCTATGTGAACTAATTCGGGAGAACAGTCGTAGTGCCTTTGAATGTAAAAGATGTTTTTTGTACCCTTATCTCTACCCTGGTTGTCATCAATTGTAATTGAAGCCCTCTCACCCTTTTTATTTTCCATTTATTTTAATTCTGATTATCTGTCCACTTCACCTTTATTATTACATAACTTCTAAGATTTGACCTAATTCATTTATTGAATTGTCTACATATACGCATATCACCCGTTATCTTCGTTACTTTTCATCGCTACCTGCATAAACCTTATTATCAATATTTTTGCTATCATTATAATCATTGTTGTTACTGACGTTCAAAACATTTAACACATTATTATTATTATAATTTGATCCACAAACTCACCGTCATTGGAGAAATGCTGTTTTGTATATAAATCAATGTATATTAGGGTAAAGCTTGAAGAAGCAGATCTAATTAAAAATGACAAAACTGTTCGCTTATATGTCTTGTTCTATTATTGTATCACTCACTGCATTTCATATAAACGTATTTTCAATGATTATAAGGAAAAAAGTAGTTCTTAAATTAGATGATCGAGTATGGCTCACTTCTAACATAATCTCTAAACCATGCAGCTTCGTGTATAGCTTCCAATCGTTTGACCTCTTCAAAAGGAAAGAAAATATACGTAGAAAATATCATTCAGATGTATATTTTGATCTAAGAGGTGCCGCCAATAATTATACAACTGATCCAACAGTTCTACGACAGTGCTGCATGCCAAGTAATCCACAACGGGAAACTCACGGAATCCTTCGAAGAAGTGAAGACGGGAGTAAGACTAGCTGGCTGGCTGTCTACTATCTCGAATGATTTTCCTGATTGCGATAGGCTGGACAATGCGACAGAGAGAGATAAGTGAGGAAACAGGCATAAAATGGACTCACACAGAAAACTTGAAGGATCTAGCTTCCGCCGATGATATATGTCTGATTCCCCACTAACTGGGATATATGCAAGTGAATCATACATGGAAGATAAGAAGGACTTCAGGTGAACGTAGAGAAAACAGAGGTGATGAAGATTCCTGGCCAACAGCAACAGAACAACACACAACAATCAGCCAGCAAAGAAGGGAGAAATCTGAAAGTAGCCACCTCCTACCTACCTGTGAAGCATCGTTTCAACTACAGGCGGATAGAACTGATGAGGATATCAAAGCAGCGAGGATCAGGAAAGTAAGGCAAAATTTCATTTCTCTCAAGTCTGTGTGGAGGTCAACAGCACTCAGCATGAAAATGTAAATAAGATCCGGATTTTCAACTCCAATATGAAGTTATTGATACTCACTAGACGGATCAGAGACTTGGCGCGTTATGAAGAGCACTTCGAACAAACTACAGACATACATCAACATCTGTCTTCGTTCAATATTCCGCTCAAGATCAGATAGCCGGCCAGAAGACATCAACAACAGGGATCTCTGGCAGCGAACCAACCCAGCAGGAACCGATTGTACACAAAGTAAGCAGGAAGGAATGGAGGTGGATTGGCTAGATATACTCTGAGAAAACAGTCAACTGACGTCACACTCCAAGCCGTAACCCCAGTGGAACCCGAGTGGGAAGCGGTGAGTTAGTCGTTCAAGGGTGACACAGAGTACGTCATGTGAAGAGGAGATGAAAGCACGTGAGCAGATGTGAAGCCAGGTCAGATAAACGTTGGCAGAGAACCGAACGCAATGGAGACGTGCAGCTGAAGCCTTAATGATCTCTTCATCTCATGTCGGTTCGTGATGAAAATTTGAAAAATTAGAATTCATATAGAATCCTTCTTTTTTCATTCTTTTAAGTTCCCAGTTGAAAATAAGGCCTCAAGCTAGAGGTGTGAAGTTTCGATGGCTGTGGTGTTTATATTTACGGCATGGGGTTGCTGGTCTTATGCCCAACCTTTTCTATTTACCAGTCTTATTACTGACTTAGAGTGGTAAAGGAGTGCACCGGCCGGGGATTGAACCTTGAACCACCTGCGTGGTTGACGAGCATTCCACCCATGTGCCACCTTAAAAAATCCCATAATCGTTATATCGAGTCGTCGTTTTATTTATTTATTTATTTAACTCAGTTATTCATCTCACCGTTTTTGAACTTTCTTTCACCATTTATCATATTATAAGATGCTGCTCCTTCGCGTTTAGAAACTAAGTGGAGTTAAAAAACACACAAAAAGTTATGAGTACTTGAGATTATTCTTCGGTCCTCTATATGGAAAATATACCTGTTATTTTGGGAAATATCCTATCGGATTATATATAAATATATATGTAGAGAGAAAGACACTGGTAATAATTGACTCAGGATGAAGAGATTCTTTTCAAATGATTTGTCATTATAATATATCTATAAACCTGGGCACTGTGGCATTATTTAACTCCATAATATTTTTATTGATTAGATATTTCACACACACACACACAGTGTGAAACAATATTATGTTTTGAACACAATTCATTCTTGTTCATAATCACACCATCAACTCTAACCACACAGTTTAGAAACTTCACTTTTATAGTTCAATTTGCTCCTTCCAGTTTATGGTAGGGATGAGAGAAATTCCCTGGGACAGATGTGGGATCACTCCTGGTGTTCCTACTCTCAGTTCATTTGATGAATAAACTTCCCGTTATCAGTCTCTCAACTGTGTTTAGTCAAATTGCATAAAGTGCTATAGCTATGCTATCTTCCTGATTTATTATCTCATTAAGGTCAACTAACCTAGATTTTGTTAGACTGTTGTGCTCCGCCAATCCCATTGAACCCATCCTACTACTACTACTTTGACCTTTGCATTTGGCTTGACAATCACTGCACTACACTGTTGTTTGCAGATTGTTTTGTTTAACTGACTCCACAGGATTGATCTTACAACCAGCCTAGCTTATTTCCAATTGTGTTTGTGATTTTGAATGCCAGCCACTGTTATTCCTGCCTGCATTGTTAAGAAATCTCCGTAAGTTGGTTTCCAAGGTTTCTTCTAAGTATGGAAGTATTACTGATGATGTAAACCCAATTCTACGTGTTTGCAACTATGCAGGATATTGTTCTTGTATTCTTTTCGACAAAACACATTGGTCGAACGACCGATATACCTAGCTCCACACGGTCAGGTGAATTGATAAACAACCATGGAGTTGGCTAGATGTGGGATCTTGTCCTACAGGCTTTTTGAACAGTAATGGTCGACTAGAAAACGCTATTCTCAGAGTGGCCACTCAAGATATCTCTTTCAGAGAATGTCAGCATCTAGACCAACCTAGAATTCAAGGTTAGTGTACAGCAGATGTTAAGTCACATTTCAACAGCTTCGAATGTATATTCTTATCCACAAAACATGGAGATAAACCCAATAGGATATTTCCTAAAAGGCTTAACTAATCCTCAACAGCTTCAGGACTATGAATACGCTGAATGCAAGTGGCAAGTGATCTAATAGGGGATTACATTTTCAACTAGTTGGTAACCAGCTGTAGAACTGGCTAAAAATCTTACTAATTCTACCTGCCTTTCAAAAATTCCCAAATAATATGAACCGGTTATCATAAATTACATAACCAACGTTAAAATCGTCAGTTGTCTATTTTAATTCACGCTGTTAGTTTCTAAAAATCATTTACACAGATATACAATCGTACAGCCTAAAATTAAATTCTTTAAAAAGGGTAACTTTCTATTTTTAACTGAACACTGGTTAGTAACTAGTGTCATGTGTCCTACAGTAGGTCATTCGATAACGCCTCTGACTTCAGCACTGATTGACACGATTGACACGAATCTCAGGAGGTACATGAGCATCTTCGAGATTGAAAGAACGCCTTTCTGATCGGTGACTAAGACAATCACGAAATCTAGGTCAGACATAGCGTTTTGTCGATTGCCTCCAACCTTCTAATAAAAGTAATTCAAGGTTTCTTCCCGTTGAAATATTATATAATAATAATAATTAGTTATCAAAAATGATTGACTTACACTCAGCCGTTTTCGCTTTATAGAAGGCATCGGCGTATGCTTCTATATACTTGTGTACTGATTCTAGGTCGATAAAAGGTGGTTTTATTGTGTAGAAAAAAATTACATGACTTTAATTCGCCTATATAATTGGATATATTTATACAGTGTGTACACATCTATCTGTCTACGTGTTATGTGGCAGAGAGTAGTAAGATTGTAAATTGTATTCTGTGAAATATCTTGATCCATATTCCAAGATGGGTCAGATGGGTAGTCTAGCACAACACCGCAGACTGTTCACCCAGAATTGTGATACACACATACAGAATACTGCTTACTAAACATGATCAAGCCATCAGCTGATCAACCGCAACTAGCAACAAGTCCATCAGACTCAACAACACCTGAAAGACATAGTGCATATATCAAACCACTGTCTCCCACATACTGTACATATCCGCTATAGCTGGCTAGTAATACTCCCAACCAGTAAAATGAACCAGTGAGTCAACTAAACTAAGCTCAACGTCCGTTATACCTGATCAGTTCGACTACAGCTGACAGACAGCATTGCCAGGCATGATGAACACCTTAAGCAAGTATACTGACAAACACACCTATACACCCTCTGGTGAGTGAGGCATATGGCAAGCGCACCACGCACATCCACCATACTCAGGCACTCATTGTTAGGCAGAAACTGAAAGATGGCTAAAATACACAAGCACAAACCATACTCAACAAGTGAATTGACTATGATCACCGCTCAAATCCATAGGTTTACTCCCTACTTTAATCTCTCTCTCTTTTTCAAAGTTCTTTTCAATTTTTTCTCAAGGTACTCGTTTTAACTATCGGACTCTTGTAAGCACTTAATCTTGGATGAAGTTTACCACCCACTTTGGGCCGCATTCTCAAACAATCCAAATTGAAGTGTAGCTCTGGAGAAAAATTGCATGCTTGGCCTCCTCCCGAGCATTCGTCTTTCACTTACTGTCAGTCAGAATCATATGTCTTACTTATTGCTATGCGTGAGGGAAATCAATGATGCTCAGAACAAACTTAAACACCATATTGCCTTAAAGTCAAATGACCACAAACTTAGGTGTTGAGCTGATCCCTGTTCACTCACGGTTATTAGGGGAAACCTTGTTAGGTTCCTTCACTCCGCCTAGTGATATGCTGAAGTCTATTGGGTATTCATATCTGATCTGAGGTCAAAGTAAAACTGACTTGTGCATTACACACCATCGGTGAAACCGAAGAATATTCATAAACCTCCGAGAAAGCTATTTATATAAACATACATATATATGTAAGTGTATATACGGCACGTCATGTACTCTGCAGCGTTTATGTAAATGTGTGTGTGTGTGTGTGTGTGAGGAAACCCAATATGCCTACTGGATCAGAAGTTCTATACCAGACTAGGCTGTGGCTGGATAAATTAAAGATAACTGAGAACTTTATTGATTCTTATATTACTATTGTGTTCAAGGTGCGGAATCATCAAAGTTTCCTCTTGATCTGGTTGCTATAGCCATGAACAGGCGAAATGAGAGAACCATGGTTGAGTAAAACAAGCACTTCTCATTGATGTGATTGGTAAAGTATGAATTGTGTCACAAAACTGCCACTCACAGAGATACCAGTGTGTCTCCAAACAGTTCTTTCTGAATACGGAGAAGCATATCGTTTACTTTATAGTAGCCAGCATCTGACAGTCAATATCTCGCTGGATTAACTGCACTATTTCACTCACTTATTGCATTCTAGAGATCAAAGTGCATGTCATAATTCCATAGGGATTGTTTATTGTCATTGTAAAGAACAATAACTTATAGTTTTTTTTAATAAGGAGAAATGCAATACTGTAAAATATTTAATCTGTTGACGTCTAGTGGAGCGCATTGAACAGACTTCACATGTCTCCCTACGATTACATGTCACTAAAAAGCTTTTGGAGAAGTGGAAACTACAAAGGGTAATAATATAAGTGAACATTTGGAGAACTCACCAGGGATAGGTTCAACTTCTGTTTTCTGTACAGCTAAAATATTGATTTATAAACAGTCATCTTCATGAGTGAGTTTCCAAGGATTTCAATGATTACAAGTTTGCTTATTCAAAGATATAAGTCAGGGGACCATATTCAAACACCATTCAGTACTGGACAGTTGTTTCACAGGGAGTGAAGTCGAGACCATCAGGTAACGTGTGGGATCACCAGTTTTGATGTGATGACAGATAGGCGCCAATGACGTTCGTAAAAGACATCTAAACTGGGACGAAAAATCTGTCGACTACTTCCCACTGATTTGCAATACTTCTCTAATTCATATCAATCCATGATCTAACTGGTAAACAAATATACACGTTAACTGAAAGTCACACTATTTATTGGAGTAGATAGAGACTATAGAACAAGTAGAGAACAGGTATTATTTCGTGTTCATTATACTACTCATAAAATTCAAGTAGACAAATAATTCAACCAATATCAGACGAAACATTCAATTACAAAACGAACATCGTCTACGCGTTAACATGTAACAACTGTGAACAGCATTATACTGCTCATAGCTGACGTCCTACTCGTCTTTGCATCAACATGCACATACTGACTATCAGAAAAACACACATGCGATATCTTCCCTCACAGCAATGCATGCAGGCGAATTATGGATATCAGTTAAACTGGACAAGTGTTGAACACGTAAAGAAAGGAAATCCAAAACAGCCAGAGAATTCCTAGAAGCCCAGCACCAAAATTTATACCACAAACTCTCAACTTCTTTGAGTAATAGTCAAAAACGAAACTTTTTCTTAGAAATTAACAAAGGAGAAACTGATGCTGAGGTAGGTGATATTCAGACATGTTTTCTGTCATGGTAGCGTTGGTAATACAACACTCCTGGACTGAATCAGTTCACATAAGACTGAAGCCTACATCAACATTATGAAATTAGGAGAGTGTGGATTCAGTTTGAGACCATCTGGATGAGATCACTGGTTAACCTCAGATATGAGACTATTTCATATCACGACAGTCCAATGCACAAGCTACTAGGATAGAAATTGTCAGTTCATTAGACATATTTAATTAGGTCAGTGGTAGAAGCCCATCAGCTCTTTAAGGCTGAGAAGTAGATCACATCCTACTTAAAACAGTAAGTTTGTTTCCATCCTGCAACTCCAGACTGAGTGCATGCTTAAATCCGCATGCCTAATAAAAGTGTTCTAGCGGTCGAATGAAAAGTACCAGTGTAGTCTGAGAAGGCAAGTCGAATAAACTTTTCAGTTTTATGTAGACATGAAAAAATGCGTTGAAGTGATTTTCTAGATATCTGGGACAGGTGATGAATCATTCCTATTACATGTATTTGTAGTTGATTCGATAAACAAAGCTTCTGTTATCAATCTCTCCCTATACCCTGTGACATTAGATTTTAAAACTGTCATCCTATCCCATCATCCTACACTGTATGGTTGTGTGTAATTGCATGTAGTGCTATCTACGTCTGAACTATTCTCTAGATTTCTTATCTTATTTGGATCAACCAATCTAGATTTTGCTAAGTTTATATGTTCAGCCAGGCTGACTGCACCTGTTCTACTACTTTGACCTATGTATTTGACCTGACAATCAATCCAGCAGGGTATTAGATAAACTAAATTGTTTTGTTTTAAAGGCTCCACAGCATTGATCCTTTAACCGACAAAGCTTGCTTCTAATTGAGTTTTTTGGTTTGAATACTAGCCACTTTTATTCCTGCTTTGTTAAGAATTCTCCGGCGTACGGTTTCCGAGGTTCCTTCCTTGTATGGAATTACTGCTGATGATTTAGATTCCTTATTGTTGGTGTCGTCATTAGTATTATTGTTATTATTATTATCACTCTTATTGCAAGATCAATTCAATTCCCATCCTTGAATCAAGTCAACCTGTCCCGGATCAGCCTAGCGTTGTTGCAACCCAATTATCCATGTCTAACGTGTCTATCCCCCCCCTTGTTTAATGAACTGTGTGTGTGTTTTTACATCGATCCGTTTAGTCAGACCGTTGAACTCATGACCCAATCAGAGTATTTTGTGAACTGTTATTTTTGCTGACCCATGTCTTACTTTGTACTATTCAGTCGAGTTCATCTTATTTATTGATCTTCATCTATATCAGACCATCCTGGTTAAGTAGCCAATTAAATTCTATCTTTGTGCCTATGCTCTGACTATCTCTTAATCGCTCTCTGTTCTATGCCTTGCATTACTTGGGTTCATTCTTCTACTGACTGCTTACCTGAACGGTCGTGTCTGATTCCGGCTAGTTCGCAATTTTGGCTTTAACGTTATTTCGCTCTGATAGCGGTACCTTGCTTTCTGTTGAGCGTTGTGCTTCGTACTCTTGAAACCGTTAAGGTTTCTTGTGTATATGATTATTGATTTGTTAATTAATAGTACCGTAGAAATAGTGACCGGTTTCTTGTTTGTTCTGAACCGGGATAAATTTTATCTACGCGTGACTTAATTTCAAGCGATATTGCACTAGCAATTATTATTATTATCATCATTATTATCGTTATCATTATTATTTTTATTATCACTATCGCTACTTTCATTAAGGAAATGTAAAAATAAAATAATGATAGTAGCGATAGTGATAATAACAATAATAATGATAACGATAAAAATAGTGATAATAATAATATTAATGACGACACCAACAATAAGGAATCTAAATCATCAGCAGTAATTACATACAAGGAAGGAACCTCGGAAACCGTACGCCGGAGAATTCTTAACAAAGCAGGAATAAAAGTGGCTAGTATTCAAACCAAAAAACTCAATTAGAAGCAAGCTTTGTCGGTTAAAGGATCAATCCTGTGGAGCCTTTAAAACAAAACAATTTAGTTTATCTAATACCCTGCTGGATTGATTGTCAGGTCAAATACATAGGTCAAAGTAGTAGAACAGGTGCAGTCAGCCTGGCTGAACATAAAAACTTAGCAAAATCTAGATTGGTTGATCCAAATAAGATAAGAAATCTAGAGAATAGTTCAGACGTAGATAGCACTACATGCAATTACACACAACCATACAGTGTAGGATGATGGGATAGGATGACAGTTTTAAAATCTAATGTCACAGGGTATAGGGAGAGATTGATAACAGAAGCTTTGTTTATCGAATCAACTACAAATACATGTAATAGGAATGATTCATCACCTGTCCCAGATATCTGGAAAATTCTACTACCCCAACGACGACAAATAGGAGAAGACAAAAAATCTATGAAACACAAGTTTCAAAGTCGTGTTATTATAACTGATGATATGATTATGAACAATAATTTTTGTTCGAAACTTTGTCATCCAGTAAATAATACTGTTTCTTCACTATGTGATATATCTAATAAACAAACTAATATGGAATTACTTACTACCACAGTGCCCAAGTTTGACACATATATTATTATGTTGGAGTACACTGGTAGCATCTAAAGTGACTCTACCGTATTTATAAGCAAACTACTACAGATCACTGAAAGTGTTTCAAGGTAGTTTTGAGAACCAGCATCTAACAACAACAACAATCAATATCTGACTGGATTAACTCAACGCCTTCTGAGGTTTATTGCACTGTGAATATATTGAAAGACATGTTGTAATGCAAAGTATGCAGGAACCACTCATAAATCAGTATAAAAGCACACAGAGTAGGTATTAATTAAATAAGGGAAAAGGTGCAGGGGTCAATGAAACGATTGCACTCAATTGTTAGTCATCTAACATTGGAAAGATGAAGACCTTACAGTCTCAAAAGATAATCAATATACTCATCAGTAGATTGAAAAAATTTATTTTTGTGCTCACATTATTTGACAATTCGTGTGGTTTTTGAAAAGCGTGTGCAGTGAAGAGAAAATTCTATGGAAATCTTTCAAAACTTACTATAATTATTTCGCCGCTGAGTATTCGTTGCAGCTGTCACTATGATTGATAAAGCGAAACATATTTGTATTCATTCACTAAACATTCGGAATTCTTGTCAAATATGACAAAGGAATTATCCAGCCATCAAAATCCCGTAATTCATTGTAATTTGAAGAAAATACATAAGAAGTAAGGAGGTTTCTAGGTGGAGGTGCACACATGCACACACAATGGCTGATTAAAACTGTTGCCCTGACACAATATAATATTGAATAACTTGAATGAGTAGTTTTATAATCACTCACGCTTTCTCGCCAGTCCGAAGCATGAGCAAATAGGAAGACTTTAACTTGAGACTTTTTCCCTTACATGACTAAACCTACAAAACCGGTTGAGAAACTAAAGCCCACAGAGAATAATTTAGGAAATACAAAACTTCGAAGAACACTAATCTTATACTTTACTTGAATCGGAGAAGCGAAATGACGCGATAGGGTGATGAAAGCTTCCGGGTAGTCAGTCTGTCAACCAGCAGATGTGTCTTCTTCTCTCGATGGAAGCAGGCAAGAGTGAGAATAGGGATATGGAATGTCCGTAAAACGTGCAAGACAGCCTGGGAAGGCTGAACAGGAGGCGAAGAAGTGCCTAGAAGTGCTAGGTATCTGCAAAAGCAGATGGAATGGCTGCGGACTGTTGAATTTGTCGACTGCACAGTCAGTAATCTACTCCGGTCTGGTCACTCAGACGACAATCACAAGCACACTGAGGCAACGGTGAGTGACTACCATGATGTCATCCACAGCCCTGGTGCAATGGGAACCAATTTCCCCTTGCATAAACATGACAGCAAGATCGAACTCAAAAAGACGGAAGGAAAGTCACAATTATCCAGTGCTTAGCACAGTGATACAAATAAGGCCGAACAAGAGAATACTGGAGATTGCTTCAGACTAATACAAAGAGTAACGGACAATTCCCCGAATGTCGAGATCACAATGCTTATGGTCGATATGAATGCAATCCGAACTGGGATCAGATAATACAGGCAGAGAACTCATCATGTGTGGAGAGGCTGTCGCTCGGCTGGATTAATGAGAATGGAGAATTATTCTCAGACTTCTTCGTTTTCAGTGATTTGGTGATCAGGGGGAGCGTGTACCAGCACAAGGATACACACAAAGCAAAACGGATTTCACCTGACGGACATACCACAAACCAGATAGATTTCATATCAGTGCTGTTCAAGGAAGTGGAAATGCAGATAGTCTCCTGGATACAAAGTCAAGGAGGGGAGCTCACTGATCGCTCACTTAGAGCATCATCTAGTTGAAGGAACCCGCCTACAAGGTGAAGCTGAAATCCGTGAAATAGGGAGTCGCATCATCCTGAAGTGAACAAAAGATGCACCAGTCATGAACAAGCTGGATTCAGGAGAGGCAAATCATGTGCTGATCAAATTGTGACTCTACGCATCGTCCTCACAGAACGAAGCATGAAATGGCAATCAACTCCGCCTCTACCTCAACTCTCTTCATCGATTTCAAAAAGGCCTCAGACAGCTCAGCGTTGACTGATGAGTAATTTGGAAGCCAGTTAAACACTACGGTGTGCATTTCAAAATTATTTATCAACCTCATTCAACAGCTTTATGACAGTGACATGTGCCAGGTGATGCACAACGGAAAACTCACTGAGGTGGTCGAAGTGCATACAGGCTTGAGACAAGACTGACTACCTATTATCACCGATGATATTCCTAATTGTGGTAGACCGGATTATACGGATGACTGTGCGTTGGGAACGAGTAGTCAAGAATACGCTGGACGATCGATCATTCTCCAGTCCCATCATTATACATGTATAGCAGGCTGTAACAGTGATAGAAGGAATGATTATGTTAGATGGCTGGATGCTGTTGGACACAGAAAATGCTGTCTGACCTAGGTCGCGTCCTGGTTGGTGTTCATCAGTCAGCAAGTCATATCTGTAGTCATCATGAAGGAACGCATGTCCCTCATCTGAGATTTCAACACACGTCACCCAATGGCGTGTAGTAGTCAGAGATGTCAGTGCGAATCACTCAGTGGTGGTCACGTCTCTGACTGCAGAACTTCCTATCGCCAATCACCCCCAAACCAACTGATAAACACAAGGTTGAATCATGAATATTATTTATAAAAGAAGAAATTTCCTTATCAACTTACCGAAAATGAGCAGCAATACCAGTACAGCATACATAACTGGAGTATTCTTTCATACAAATTTTACAACTACTCACAGTTCTGTTTATAGATACCTCCTCATGGGAATCAGTAAGCAAAGTTCACACAGATCTCATGAAAACTTCTGGAGTACACAAAATCCAGTGAGAATTTCGTTGTTTTTCTCATATTTCTAAACAAGACCTGGTTTCACACTCTTTTAAACTTAACAAAAGTACACTTTTAAATTTACTCAGGTATATGTAGAGCAAAGTGAAATGGAAGCCAGTGAGTGAATGATCCAACGATATGTATACAGTTGTTTTAGTTATGGTAACTGAATATTCTATTCATTTGGAAGGCTCACACGTAATGTTAATTGAAAAGTGAATTGTAGAAATCATTTCTAGTGATATCAGTGAGAGTATGACTCAAGATCAAGGAATACTGGATAGCTGTTTCTACTTTCTTTCAAATTCTTTAGAAGAGAGCACTTGTAATCTCATGTCATGGTGATTGGTTCTGCATATGGAACGGACTCAACAAGCAACACTGACTGGAACGAATGTTATTGCAGGTCCTATCATGTCAGGATGACGGTTAGGATAGAAGTTGCTGGCGTTGTGCAGCATGTATATACATTATGCTTGGGTTCTGTGGACAAAATCTTGATGTTAATGAAGTGGGATGTAAGAATAGTAAGGCGTTTGTCTCAGATGACCAGCATACCAGCCAGTTATGCACTTACTCCACTCTGGAGAAAGGATGTGACGGTAAGAAAATATGTTGACCCCGTAAAATGATACATCCTTACTTACCCTAGAGTGGTTCGTCGTTGTCGGTAAGTTGTTAATATGAAATCAACCATGAAAACCCATTCAAACAGGCTGTGTGTGTGACTGATGTCGAGAAGTTGTCACCTGGACTATATGGTCACATAACAGTATTTCCATTCATAATTATAAAATAATAATAATTTGTTTTATTTCAAAACAGTACTTGTGATACAGAATGGAATTCTCAGCATTTTTACTACAGTACTGCATCCAGTTAGTACATGATCAATAAATAGAATTCTACATAGATTAAGGAAATCTCAGTTCATTATTACAACAACACATTGGCATGTCGGTAGAAAAACCGAAGTTGAACAGTGTTTGAAGGTGTTAGAAAAGTAGGTGCTATCATATTTACTGGCGTAAGCGAGAGAAAGAAACAAAGCAGCACATAACATAAACAAGAAAGAGAGAGAAAAGGAAAAGAAAGAAGGAGTAAGGGTTGGGTTAAACCAGAATGTTCTAACTTCTTGATGTAGAAGGTAAGACGGAATATTTTCTCAGAAATCGCCAATATATGAGACGACCAGGAACGATCAGCAGATAGAATGACGCCTAGGTATTTGATTTCCGACAACACCGCAACACCACCTCCATTATTCCTATTACAACATTGTCGGTCTCGTCTAAATAGAATGAAGTCCTTTAGTGAGATGAGATTGTCATCATACAGTTCATGTAACCAAGTTTCTTGTAATGTGATTATTCCAGCATTATGATAAGTGTCAGTGGACATCAAATATTGCAGGTACATTAACTTGTTTGGCAGAGAGCGGCAATTAGTGCTCATTATGGCAGGGAACGTAGTTATGTGTATTGGTGTACGTTTGAGAGCTCTCTCCCAACCACTACAATACTTCCTCCTTGATTTCTTGAGAATATGGAGGTCATTGAGTCGTAAATGATTAATATAGTTGCAAGAGTAAATGATCCTGTTAGAATTCATATTTAGGTGATAAATAAATAGGAGTAAACAGTAGATTGGATGCAATGTGTAGATATTATAATAGCAGGCCCAAAAATTCGAACAGGCCATCAAGGTCATTATTTAATTACCCCAGGTAAACATGTAATTCCACGGTGTGGGTAGTCAGGGAGTGACAGCCATGCATATGATAGAAAAACCTCACGAAAAGCAGCGAGATGAAACAAGTTAGAATTCAGGGGCCCCTGGGTTCCTTCCCACTAAGTGAATAATCAAACCTCGTCTAGTTAACTAGCTCGCTAGTTTTCTAGCCGGTCTCAAGCCCAGGTAAAGAGGGTGGGATGGACGTGACACTAAGAAGCCCACATCACTGAACCCATCAAACCAGTTGAGTAAGACTTCAACGCACAGAGAATATTCTAACAATACAACACTTCGAAAAACATCAATCTTGTTCTTCGCTAGATTCGAAGAAGCGAAATGCCGCAGCAGGCTGGCGATATACATTAGGAAAAATCTCTCAACTTGATAACTATCTGACACACAGTGTCTGACTACTTACACTAGACACTAGACAGCAAATAATCCCGTACACTATGTCTTCTCTTCTCTTGTAAACTGAATTCTATCAGTCCAGTTTGAAGTGTCACCATCATGCTGGGTGGATGAATATCACGGTGAGGATTGCCACCAAATATCTCACATTGACCACAAACAATGCAACTTCACATTTGAAATGCTCTTTATCCTTTGCATGCATAGAAACAATGAGTGTGTTCGTAAAATCAATATGAATAAGTAGACAAATATACGAGACAATCACCAGTGGATTCGGTATAATCGAATGAATGTATATTTCAAGTTCAGCGGCCAAACACTGAGTGAACGCACTGTGTGCTAATCACATCCTTGTCAGTGTTGTCAGTATGTCACTCACATGTTTCATAATTGCATCAACAGCGAAAGGAAAGAATTACAGTTGAATGAAAATGCAGTAATTACCTGTGTCCAGAGGAGTAGATTTATTCAGAAGTTTCTTCACTTCGTACTCATCTACAAACAATAAAATTGTGCAATCACGTAGACAGATACATGTTGACATATTCAAGTGCAGACAATGATCGTATATGTAGGATTTATATTTCTTAAGTTTCACTGGTATTTGTACATGTTCGCCGCCCTATATATATCTATATTCAACATCACAACTACTCCTTGTTTCGTGGGAGGCCATGATTTGTGCAGCGCATTGTGGTGATACAAGAGGCAAGCTGTCGAATGCAGCAATCAAACATATTTTGGATGGGTTGATATCAGTGGAGGAATCAACGACAATCGGGCGTGTATGGGATAGCCTGCTGTTTCGTACTAGGTGGAGAGTGATGTGCAGCAATCGCCCCACTGGTGTTATCTTGTAAATGACTTCTTTTTACGGTTACGCTCATCGAATGGCGCACTCATAGCAAACAAATGAATGTGGTAGAATTCAATTGTGTGTTTATGTAGCTCGATAACAGAACACTGGATGAACACAGCTCCATTTGAAATGTTCTTCAGAGTCAAATTCAAGATCTGATTGCACCTCTCAAAGGCAGTGAGATAAAGGGATCTGAGCATAGCTAATGCACTAGCGATATTGAAGTCTTAGCCAATGCTTTGTATCCAATATAAACGCATCCAACCTTCGTCTTTAACACGGTCATAGGAAACAGTAATTTCACTCAATAGGAATGATTATGCAGTTGCATTTCTTATCCGAAATTTCTGTTTATTTTGTTATTATTGCATTCTAATCCCTGCTTGTAACCATGTTCATTCAACCCTCAACCAGAAAGGATTCTGAAACATTCTCAACCATTTACTATCAACACACGAGTGTCCAGTCTGGTTGATAACTAAGTCGAAAAGAACAATTTCTTTACATTTCCTTCACGTATGCTTAGTCGAAGCTGTAGCTATACATGGACGAAAACGTAAATTATGTATTGACAAACGTATTGCTAAACCCCTTTCTTCACCTTTGTTATAGCTATGTTCTTTTATTTCTGTTTAAATTTTACCACCTCAATTCATTCCACTTCAATTCACATTCACTATCTATCTTTATTGTTATCATTATCTTACTGCTTATTTTTCTTAACAATACTTGACCTGAAATTTTCAAATCTTTACACCAGTTCACATATTGAATAATCTCTGAGAGTTTTGTAATTCATCCAATTCAACTCTATCTCGCCCTTAGTACATCCTTTTAATTATCTTTATTCTCATCATCATGTGTGCAGTGTTGACTGAGAAATTTCCAGTGCAGCCACTTAATGCCTTCTCTTTCTGTAATAATAATACGACTATACAGTTAGCTGGAAAATAAAATCGTTGAGAAAACAGTATTTCTTTGCTGAACAAAAAAGTGCATTCAAATCTGTGAGGTGAACTTCAGGTCAGTTGATGTAGTGCCACTATTCCCCCCCCTCACACACACAAAAACCGTATATATACGGTGGATGCGCAAACATTATTCAGTCATTCAGTTGGTGCTCTTAGTGAAGATGACATTCTCGGTCTCTATCACTTTCCTGTTGCTGATTTGTTTATTGAGCTGCTTCGGTGAGTTGATGAACACGATTGTTATTTTGTGGCTACATATTTCTTTGAAAATTGGTTTGATTTGATTTTAAATAAAGAGTGTGAGACGAATTCAGGAGGTCTGTTTGGCATGAGTCAACAGACCTCGATATGATTTCACCACCGAATGAAGTGAAGCCGGATTTCGTGTAAAGTGTTGAAGACAAGTGAGGACGTTGATCTGAAATCGTGATGAGCTTAGAGACATTTATCTCTGTGTATGGCATTTATAATTCAGTGAGTAAATGTCAGTGACGTACTTGAATTTTATAATTCGCCTTATACTCACACATCTCATTCATGGCATACTTTTGAGCAGATGTATAGACATGTATGAGTTGCATGGCTTCATAAGCGTACACAATGACTCACTGTTTTGTATCTGCATGGCAATTCAAGTTGACACATTGTAAGCAGCAGACGAAGGAGGAAAATCAGGGGATCAATACTACTGTATAATGCGTGTATTAGGACGATCGCCATTATCGGTTCGTTATCACTGAACTCCGTGGGCGCTTCCAAAATACTTCTCAGACTGGTACAACTTTCGTTTTTCAGTATTGGCTGAGATCAGCTACTAAAACCAGTATATCTGAGTGTCTTGTTTATACCAGCGAAGCAGATAGATTTCTACAGGACTGATCTCCTTCATTTCAAGCCAACTGCAGTTTGTCGGAACGTAGGCTGAGATTATGAAATGTCATCGACGTGTATCACATTCTGGCTTCTTCTGATGGATCTGTTCAAACAACTTTGGAATACAATCCAGTGGAGTAGGGATTCTTCTGAGAGCAGTTTCATGTGGATCTTCATGCAAGTATTACATCTATACTCTGTTTCGTCTCCAATGTTATTTATCCCTTGTCACATGCAAATCGTTGACTAACAATAGATTTCCCTGAAATCACCTCGTTGGTGTACTCAATAAATATGCTTTTTTTGTAGACATCCATGCACTCTCCTACTCACTATACCAGTTATTACTTCTTGACGACATTCTATTCATAATTATACAACACCTTGATTCATTTTCCAGCCTCCCGTGGTTCCGGCTTGAGTTATCAAGGTAAATCATTTAATTCGTGTCCATACTGATTAACGTTAAAGACTTTCGCAATATACAAATTCGCCTAGAAGAATACACGGTTGCATTATTGGAAGTCAAAGCAAAACAACGTGAGCATTAACATTTTATACTGACTCATACTCATTCTATTCTTCACTGTATCACTTGAACAAGATTTCTTACTCATTATTGATTGTTGCCTCATCTAACAACAGTATGCTCTTCTTTTGTCGAAAGCACACATGGTGTGTCTCTGTGACTGTGTGTGTCCACATGATAAGTGAGATGATCGTCTGTGAGTAGATTTTCCAGTAGGCGTGTGTAGCAATATGCACCTGATGTATGCAAACATCACATCATACATGGAAGAAATTTATCTCAGAATTGATGACATTCAACATATCTGAGAAATGAATGCAGTGACATTTCCAATGATCGGATATATATAATTTGTACTGCCTAAGTTGCATTGGTATTCGTACATGTTTTCCGGGAAATATATGTCCAGTTAATATCACGATTACTGCCTTCTTCTATGGAAGGCCGTGAATAGTGTTTTGCATTGTTGTTATAAAAGGGGTAAGCTGTTGAATGCAGCAATCAAACACACGTTGAATTGTTATCTTTCAAATATTTTCCTTTTGTAGTTGAGGTTTACGAAATGCGCGCTGTTAACAACGAAACGAATGTGTTAGAAAAGCTGCTAAACGGTAAGATTATTGATGTGTAAAGGAATTTTATTTGAGATATTAAATTTTGCCTCGTTGGTCATGATCTGACGTGAAGTGGATGGGTATCACTTCCAAATATACGTCTCACACGGACTATTCAAGACTTCGTACAATTCTTCCTACTGCTCAAGGTGTACGAAGCAAGAACGATGAATGGGCACCGCATTAATAATATGAGATATTGTTTTATTACTTCGAGGATTCCGCCCAATGAACTACAACCTGAACACTTCATCTGGAGCATAAATCACACTCAATTTTTGAACATGCTTCCTTTTTTCAAGATGACATGGTGTAATTGACAGGAACTAATAGTAACATTATTAATTTTTATTAATCTAGAAAGCCACAGACTGGATCGTTTATACGCACTGAAATGGATTAATGAACTAATGTGTGAGTGGAATTTACGAGTCTATTAGTGCCATATAATTGCTTGATTTAATAAAGATTTTAGGATGTGAATGTTAACTTTATCGAGTGTATTATATGGTTAGAATCAGCCTGTCTGTCAGTGAGATATTTAGTTAGTTAGTGAGTGAGTTGGAAGTTGTTAGCAGATACGGCACCGTGTACCACATCATTCTGTGCAGGCTAATTACCCGACACTTCCATTATGGGCAAATTTTGTTTGTATAAGTTCTCACAGTGATATACAGTAATGTTTACTGATGACGTTTCGAGCACAATTTATTGATATGATTATGAGCAATAAATTGTGCTCGAAACGTCATCAGTAAACATTACTGTATAACACTGTGAGCCGTTATCAAAACAAAATTGATGCATATTCGAATTACATCCTACCACAGTGCACACGTTTTATGCTTCTATCAATAATTACCCGACATTACTGACTATCGAGATTTTATTGCTTAGAGCCGACTGCATGCGATGATTAGCTACATCGACGGAATTTAATAGACACATGCATTAATGGTACCTGACATCGCGTTATGCTGCATTTCACATTGTCATCGTTCTCACTGTTTCACTAATGTATGTAGAAATCATTCTGGTGAGCGCTGAACAATCATATTGCACTCAGTGAGCATACATAGAAATGATGAAGTCATTGTGTTCGTTCACTAAACAGCACTAGCGATGATGCCTTCAGTGTCATCTATTTATTGTAAGAATCTGACCATATAATTGACTCCTCATTCACATACATGAGATTCACGATAATTTGCATCTTTGTTTGCAGCCTCACCTGTTTTCCAGGCGAACGAGGTGATTGACAAAGACACTAAGATACAATATGCAAGTGAGTTATTTACTGAATTTGTATACTGAAATAATTTAACGTGTGGCTTACACAAACGAGGTTTTCGTCTCCTTCTTCGCAACAGTCCACTGGTAGATCACATGAGACCTCTCTTTTGACAGAGCATAGCAAACCGCGCTTCCACTACAATGTCAAGAATAAAGATTTACAATCAAATGCAAGGAGGCTTCTTCAAATATCCATGTTCTTTCATTGCCATACATTGTATCCATCTCCCTCTCAAGGGTGAAGCAGTGAATCCATTCAGTAAACACCTGGATGAGGATCTCATTGAAATAAATTTCATAAATAGTGTTATAACAGTGACGTCACTGAGCTTGAGCTCATCACCAGCTACATAACAAATATTCACTGTTGAGTAGTGGGAACATAGTCAGGATTTTCTGATGAAGCAAACATTATTTTTTCTCTGCACTTGAATATACGTCACCACGTATCTTTCTACGTGATTGCACAATTTTGACGCTTGTAGATGAGTACGAAGTGAAGAAACTTCTGAATAAGTCTACTCCTCTGGACACAGGTAATTACTGCATTTTCATTCAACTGTAATTCTTTCCTTTCGCTGTTGATGCAATTATGAAACATGTGAGTGACATACTGACGACACTGACAAGGATGTGATTAGCACACAGTGCGTTCACTCAGTGTTTGGCCGCTGAACTTGAAATATACATTCATTCGATTATACCGAATCCACTGGTGATTGTCTCGTATATTTGTCTACTTATTCATATTGATTTTATAAACACCCTCATTCTTTCTATGCATGCAAAGGATAAAGAGCATTTCAAATGTGAAGTTGCATTGTTTGTGGTCAATGTGAGATATTCGGTGGCAATCCTCTCCGTGATGTTCATCCACCCAGCATGATGGTGACACTTCAAACTGGACTGATAGAATTCAGTTTGCAAGAGAAGAGAAGACAAATCGTATGAGATTACTTGCTGTCTAGTGTCTAGTGAAAGTAGTCAGGCACCATTTTTGAGATAGGTATCAATTTGATGGATTCTTGATGTTGCATACAAAGCTGATTTGTTCAGTGTATCATGGAAGCTGGATGAATAACGGGATTGAGCGAGTAGTAAGGATATCTTGAAATCAGCTAAAGTATGTTGGTTTTAATTGATGAAAGTCAATTGGACAGTTACCCTACATAATTCGTTCCATTAAGTTCACCACCATCAATCAGTCGAGAAGGCAGGCATATTCAGATGACCAGTGTCTAAAAGGATGGAATGTACTACCTGTATTCCATTGCAGCATGTAAACGTTGCACACAGACAAAGGCCTTCTTACAACTTTTTTTCCCTCCACGTTCCCCAGTGGAACATAGGGCTTCAAGCTAGTGGCTTGAGGTTTCTGTAGCAGTGTTTATTTTACAGGATGGGGTTGCTAGCCTCATGCTCAACCTTTCCTCTTCACCAGCATTATTTCTGACTTAGCGAGGTAAAGGATTGCGTCGGCCGGGGATCGAACCCCGGACCATTACATGGTCGGCGAGCGTCCTAACCGCTATGCCACCGACGCCAACAACAAGTAACTGTAATTAGCTGTTTTCCAGTTTGAATTACAGTGAGCTTACACCTGTTGACGCATACATATTCACCTCTACTATCTCTTGTAGGAAGTGAAGCGCTTTTGCAGAAAATCAAAGAGAAATGGGAAGCCAGAGCGAGATTGTATGCTGCTGAAAGTGAGAGTGTAGAGCAGTTTACACCTTTTTCCTTCCTAAGTATGCGTCAATTCGAATTTCTCAGTGTAAATTAATAGAACAGTCAAGTGTTGAATGAAACTCACTGTATACGGCATCATGGTTATCCCACACATACGGCTAATTTCAGGCTCACAAGGCATATGCATGCAGAAATTAAATAATGTCAACTCTTTTGTGTCAGTCAGTCAGTGAGCCAGTAATTGTTGTTCCTCTAAAATTGAACAGTCCCCAGCACATCAAGTAAATCTCGTATATTCTCTTAAATTTCTTGTAGATGCTTACCTGTCTAGATCATCGACAAAGTGTTTGAAGAAAGAGGGTGAGTGTTCGAGGATCAATTTTCACTATCTGCGACATTTTACATGTGAAACAAAAAATTGAATGCGGCATGGAACCGATGTGGATGGAAGAAACCACACTGTTAGACAAGGCACAATGAAGAGCCATTCACGGTGTTCTTTCATTTTGCAAAAGAATGGATTGTCAGCTCATAACACTTAGTCATTACATTGATGATGATTTATCTGTCACAATGTCATCGTCATTTAGTTGTGACAGCCACAGTACAACTTTGCTCGATAATGAATATCACGTTGACTCCTGTTGACTGTTCCATCGTGGCCTCTCATTTAGAGCTTTGCAAATCCGTCTGTTTCTGTTCACATAATGACACCAATTGACAGAGCAAGGTATTCACAGGATGCTGTGTACGTCAAAAGTATATCTTACTATACAATGGATTGATCAACAGAATGCATGCGAACCCACATAATATGTCACTTCTTCTCATGATGTGTAGGAAATATTGTTCTCCAATTAAATCGAGCCAGGTGGAATTGACTCCACTCAACAAATTTTGCACACACACTGACAAGTGTGATTCACATCAGTTGGCAAGTGGCATGCCACATTATCTGCATAATGGCCTGGATTCACTTCAAATTCACTAAACACGGAACATGAGTGAATAGCACGACATGAATCTGAAATGACGTGAATATCCAGTATATTGTGATTAGTAATTGCACCTCAACAGCTTGGTGCTATTGTTATTTTCCTTATTACTGTTTTTATGGATTCTGAGTGGATGATGGGGCTTCAACAGCACGTTTGTTCCTTTCTTCTGCATACCTGTTTGACTGGATGGCCCACGTCGGCCCATAATCTGTCTTCCCCTCCTCGGACCACATGCCTTATATTACAATTGGACTTGCTCTCAAGATTTTGTTTCCCAGTCAGTCACGTAGAGAGATATAGAGTAGAAAGTGGCGTCAGTCAACGGTTTTTATCCAACCTGTGCCCAATCCATCACACTTGGCTTGTTCCCAGACATTCGTGTTGCTTAATCTTTCTGGTCAACCCACCACTTTACGTTGATTACGGATGCGGCAAAAGAAGCTTTCGATTAAGATCTTCAGTGGCCTCTTAGAAATGCATTTCGTGAAGCGATAGTCAAGTTTCTGACCCACACAGACTCATGAAATATCTTGACATCGGCGCCGAAATTAAGAATTTTCTTTTTTCTTTTGAGTGTAGGAGATTTCTTAGCTGGTTTTCACAACCCCTTTCGTAACGACTATCTGTAGTGGAAATGATGCTCCTGAGATGAGTGGAAGAATTGGCTCCCTTCAACTTTCTACCCTTGATTATTATTATTATTGTATCCTTTAATTCCTACAGGAACATATGGCTTCAGCCGTGCGTCTCCATTGCGTTCTGTTCTCTGCTAGAGTCTTCACCTGGCTCCAAGTCCTGTTTTTGTGGCTCATCGGTGCACTAGACAATCTTTTGTTTCACCATCCCTCTCTCTTCTATTAGTTTCCAAGTGTCCGTAGTGAGCCATTGTTTGTCCTGTCTCCTCTTCTTTCTGCCTAGAACTTCCATGCTGGTTTGACTCCACACTGTTTTCAAGTTGTCCCAGTGTTTTTCGACGCTGACCTCTTCGCCAGTGTTGATTTGTGTCTCGGCTTTTTCCCTCGTTCTTGCAGTGGAAAAGTCCTCTGAATCCTGGTCCTTCAGTTTTTGAGTGTTGAACTTGGCTTGTGGTCTATCTGCAGCTCCTGATTCTCTGAAAGCTTTTAATTTGATTTGGATTGTCCCTTGTACGAGATAGTGGTCTGAGCCAATGTCTGCTCCTCTTCTTACTTTTGTGTCCAGCAGGCTGCGCCTCCACTTCCTTGAGATTGAGATGAAGTCGATTTGATATTTGGTTCGCCCATCTGTTGACACCTGTTTAGCCGTGTGGATATCCTTGTGTTTGTAAACGCTGCCACCAATCACTAGTTCATTGAAGGCGCAGTATTCGGCGAAGAGTTCTCCGTTTTCATTCATTTCTCCCAGAGCTTCTCTACCCATGATGAGTTCCCTTCCTGTGTTGTCTGATCCTAGTTTGGCGTTCATGTCCCCCATTAGTATTTCAATGTAACCAGCTGGAGTATTGTCCATTGTTGTCTGCAGTTGTCTGTAGAATTCTTCTTTCGTTTCGAGGTCTGCGTTGTTGGTCGCTGCATAGCACTGCATAATTGACACTTTCCTTCCTTTGGAGTTGAATCTGGCGGTTATTATCCTGGGCGAGATCGCCTCTCATTGCATCAGGGCCTTCGTTGACGTTGGTGACATCATGATAGCCACGCACTTGGTGTGCGAGTGGTTATCTTCTGGGTGACCGGAGTCGATCACTGACTCACCCGTTGACAATTTGGTGAGTCCATTCCCGTTTCATCTGCTTTCACATATTCCCAGTACTTGAATTCTGTATTTTTTCATTTCGTTTGCGATCTGGGCAGCTTTGCCAATCTCGTACATGGTGCGGACATTCGATGTCCCCACACAGACTTTTTCTTTTGGCTCGAGGTGATTCATCGTGCTGAAGTTTCTGTAGCAGCTTTGTTTACAGGGTGGGGTTGCTAGCTTGACGCCTGAGAAGGGGGGTTGTTACACCAATTTATAATTTAGAGAGAAGCGACCTTGTGGATTGCTCCCCTTAAAAACCAGGAAAACAGGGAATAAACAAGCAGAAAAGCACCAGCACGGGAAAATAATTCACAACAAGAAGGGTAACAGGCGACAACAACAATAATAATATCACAGTCAATTGCAGTTAACCAAAATGATACCAAAACCATAGATTCACTGACCTGAGCCAACTTGAACATGTAAATCCGTCAATATATATACAATTATAGGTATTAGTTAGTGTTATTCAAGCACAGAGTGGCAAATAGATAGCTATAGGTGTTATTGATATACAATATTATATCCAAGGATTCAGTGTTTCAAAGTCAAATAATTGTAAAAGTTTTTCGCAACTTTTTGATAAGATATTCCACAAAAATCAGAGTTTTAGATAACTATGTAAATGTAGCGCAGTTATCGAGCTTTTTACACTCATTCAACTACCCGATCAATAACGATGATATTTTTCTCTCCCTGAAGACAATGCACCAGTGAAAGAGAACTTGGTGATTGGAGAGAAACGAATTCGAGAACTGAAAAGTAGGTTTGCAGTTGCGTTGATCTACTTGTGTAAACGTATATACATATATGATTTTTGATGTGATATCACACGTTATCTGGCGAACATTCTGTTATAACATGATGCAGAAGTCACAAAACCAAACAAATCTTGTAGTTCATGCGGACATTTTTTTTAGCTAGTGTGGTTGAATGTACACAAATGTCAATTTACTTCTGGTTTGAGCCAGTCAAACCTTTGACAGACCGGATGATCAGATTATGGATACGGAAAAGGAAGCTTTCGATAAAGATCTTCAGTGACCTCTTAGAAATGCATTTCGTGAAGCGGTAGTAGGGTTTCTGACCCACACAGACTCATGAACTATCTTGACATCGGCGCTGAAATTGACAATTTTGTCCTTTCTTTCGAGTGTAGGAGATTTCTCAGCTGGTTTAGACAACCCCTTTCGTGCCGACTATGTGTATTGGAAATGATGGTGCTGAGATGAGTGGAAGAATTGACTCCCTTCAACTTTCTTCCCTTGATAGTGATTGGCATTACAAAATAATTACACTCCGAATCTTTCACACTCATTTAGTGATCTGATCAGTAACGCTGATATTTTTCTCTCCCTGAAGACAATACATCAAAGAAAGCTAATTTGATTATTGGGGCGAAGCGAATTCCAGACCTGGAGGGTACGTTTGCAGTTGCACTAATTTACTTCTGTATACGCATATACATATCCAATTTCTGATGTGATATCACACGTTATCTGGCGAACATTCTGTTATAACATGATGCAGAAGTCACAAAACCAAACAAATCTTGTAGTTCATGTGGACATCATTTCTAGTTAGTGTAATTGAATGTCTGCAAATGTCAATTTACTTCTGGTTTGAGCAAGTCAAACCTTTGACAGACCGGATGACCAGTTCACGATGTACAGTAACAGGATTCAACTAACCTCAGGTTACCTCCAAACAAGCGATTTATCAGGCTGGCTGCATACATATAACATATGAACTGATGATTTACGCACACACGCTTGAGAGTGCTACTTTCAATGAACGAAGCAGAGAACGAGGCAGTCAGAATGTGTCAAAGACGTTTGAAATGACGAATCATCACTTTGCGTCACTCAGTGTACCCAGTGCAAAATGTGTGAAGAACGCAAAAGAATGTTTCAATCGCTCATTAAGCAGTAGCCGGTGTGATGTGTCTAGTCCTCAGGATGTTGCAGACTGAATTTTTATCATCAGTCAATATTTGCGATGTGCTCAAGCCATATGCTGGGCGACTGGCCAAAATTATGCACACTGGATGAATATAAGTTGATGCCCTGCATCCGATCAAGCCACAGAAACGATGATCGCGAGGAATACTTGTCGACCGGCGGTGTTATTCGAAGACTACTTGCATCCTCAGCCTATTCAACACTTGACCAACCACACACAATGAGGTGAATTGGCAAATTAAGAAACATATTTCCGCAGCTTCCTGCCGATTACCCCCAATCATCCTAAGACAATCCGATGAACTGCATTGGGAGTTGAGTGTGTAGAGACTGATCCTTGGAGATCGGGAAGACAGTGAGAAGGGTTGAGACGAGAAATGAATAGACCATTTATTTTCTGTTCAAAATCATATTTTAATCTTCGTAAACTTCTATTGACCTCTAACAGTCAATGATCACAATTCACTGTATAATTTTTCAGAGGCTGCCAAAATGAGGCTTTTCGAAGCAGCTGAAACATACAAGAAATTCACATTAAATCTGAATGATACACGTAAGTAGAATGTAATGAGTGTGTATGAAAACAATATTTCGAAGAATTGTCATAGTTAGTGAGCATTTGACT